CTGCGCTGCGTCGGCACACCGGCCGGTCGCTCGCCCGGTAATTCGATGAGGCCAGGCAGGCTGACGGGGCCGATCGGCACCGATCCCAATTCGCCGCTCGCCGCTTCGGACAATGACGGCGGTACGGCCCGGACGAGCCCGGCTGGGATGGGCTGGAGCTGGAGCGGACTGGACGCGGCCAATTTTCATTCGCACTGTTTGACATCAAGGCTGGAGCGGAGCGGTGTGGCCCACGCACGTCTGGCCTGGCACCGCGCTGGCACCGCCCTTCGCCTCCTTGCCTACTCGCTACCCGAGCACTCCGCGCCAAGCCGATGCTGCCCGTGCACAGAGGAGCGACTCAGGACATCCGCTTTTGTCGCCCTGTCTGGGTCGCCCTGGTGGGGCGTCCAGTGTGGGTGCGAGAGAGACAGAGCGACGAAACACCGAAGTCCGTTGGTCCGTTGCACGCGCGGCGCGCGGATTGGCGGGGATCCGACAAGCGGCCTGTCAATTCTTTTCCCACTGACGGTAACTCTGCCCACACGGCCGGCCCGAGGGCCAGGCATGTGCACTGTCAGGTTTTTTGCCCTCTCCTTTTTTCGGTCGGGGGAAACTTGAACGCGCGGCCATGGGGCCATCGACTTGGGGACCGCGTGACCGCGTTCGGTTGGGTTCGACTCACTACCATGAGGACCATGAGCGGGGTATCGCGGAAAGTCACGGCTTGGGGGCCTGCAGACTCGTCATTCTGTCTCTCTCTCTCGCATCTGTAAGAGAGTGCGGGAGAGACAGAGACGAAATCCGCGTTCGGAGCCGTCCCTCTACTGGAATCCGAGCTGGCGGCCAAATCGATGGATGGAATTTGGCTATCGATTCGGCGGGTCAGCGCGCGGCGGCAGGGAACAGCCGAACGGCTAGTTCGACGGTTCGAAAACTCGTTCCTCTGATTTGCGTCCGGGGCATGCAAAAGCTGTGATTTGATTTGGGAGGGCGAGGCAGGGACACGGACGGGCGGACCTCGGCGACGGTTTGTTGTGGAACGGCCATCGAATATTATGCTGTTTGGGGCGAGGGCAGCGCAAGGCAGCCCGCCGCGACCGCGCCGCGACCCACCCACTTCGAAGAAGCACTACCGCCCGCTCCGCCCGCCTCGTTCGTTTTACGGTCAGCTTTATAGGCCGTCGGCCGCCGTCGGCAGGCCGGCCGTCGGAAAGGCTTTTCTGGCGGTCCTACTTCGCCACTTTCCTTCTTTTTAGCAGATGATGTGAAACGGAAACGCCAGCTAGCGTCGACTCGATGGCAGCCATGGCGGCAGTGCAGGGAAATAATGCATGGTGATTAGTTGTTGAGACAGACGCCAAGCAGTGGGCGGGCTGATCCAACAGCGTCAGCGCGCGCCGCCGTCCGAGGTATGCGCTCGCCTTACAGCGTCCGTCCCCGCACGCCACAAACACACGGGTTTTCTTACATCCGAATGGGCCGCAGGAATGAGCGAGGCAGCCCTAGCCTTCGGCCTCGCTGAATGAGATTTGCAGTGCGGGAGTCACGCCACACTGAAACCGCGTAGGCAACCGCGTAGGCAACCGAGTAGGCAACCCCGCTGGGTTTGGCGCCGGCGGCCCCCCGCGGAGGAATACCCCCAATTCCCCCACCCCTCCCTCTCTCTCCGTTTCGCGCGCTGCGACGCCGCGACACCCATCGCAATGCCGACAGATTGATTTGTTTCCCAGGACCGTTGGAGCTTCGTCCTTTTTCTGTCCCATGGAGTGACGTACGGACCTTCGAGGCACCTTGTCGCGAGCCATGGCCGAGGAGTCGGTTCGTCGCTCTGTGTCTCTCGCACCCATACGGACTGCGAGTGCGACAGAAACGGAGCGACGAAACGACTGTCCGGATTCGGCCTGCAGGCGTTTGAATAATGTAGGAAAGGGGGAAATATCCGAGATGGCTTCGCCTTGGCTTTGCCGCGGCGCGTCAAGTATTGACCTCAGTTCGTCCTGTGGGTCCTGTGGGTCCTGCGAGGCGTCTCGCGCCGCCTGCATATCGTCCTGATGATCTGGGGCTGTGGGACGCGACGCAGGACGCGACGCAGGACACGCACGCCGCATTGCCCCTTGACGCATTGCTGTACGGCTCGAAAACCAAAACCAGCGGGAGGGGGGCTTAAATCGTCCAGTCTGGCCGTGCGTATGGTCGATGCGCTACGCCCCGTCCAACAGCACGCTTGAGTACGCCAGCACGCCAGCACGCCCCGCGTGGGGCCTGCAGCCGCGCCCCCGGCCGCGCAGCACCGCGCAGCACGCCCCACCCACCCTGCGCCGCTGTGCCGCTGTGCGGCTCCCACGGGGCACTGGGCACTGGGGCCACTGGGGCACTACACCGCCGTGACGGCGATGGCAGCAGCGTGCCCGGCGTCACCGAAAACACGGAAAACACCGATGACGAAATAGTCGTCATCCGCCGCCCGGACGTGCCTCGATACGTCCAACAAAACAAACTCCACTCCGGACGGACGGAGTGACAACCACCAAGGGTGGCATTTCGGAACATCTGACCGACACTTTGGGGCAACGGTGCGGATTTACAGACGGTCCACGCGCAGGCCAGGCCCGGCTGCAGGGCCTGGCAGGGCAGGGCTGTTGTGAAGCGCGCAGCCATGGCGCAGCCCGGCTAGAGTCCCTCGCGGCCACACCCAGCTTCCGGTCGGGATGTCGGGATGGTACGGCGCTGGATTCGAATCGACTTCCGTACGGGCACTCGTTCAAACGGCGGATGTATCAACTCCCCTTCGGCAGGACGTGTCTGACGTGTCACCGCCGCGCCGCGTAGCCGCGTGCATCAACGCGAAGCACGCCTTGACCCTGTTCTGGAGCGCTGGAGGGAGGGGGTGGGGAGCTTGTTGTTGTCCAGAGCGCGCAGGGCGCGCACCTCCCCCTCTCTCTTTTTGAAAACACTGCGGGGCGGGCGGCGGGCCGTGGCGGGCCACTGCAAGGCAAGGTCGCCGGTCACCTTGAGCAGCATCGCGCCGTTGCGGGCAGAGCGGGCAGAGCGACGCACAGGGCCAGGGCCGCGCGGCGAGGGAAGAGGGAAGGGCGTCCAAGGACACGGCCCACGGCTCGGGAGAGGTAGGGAGAGAGAGAGAGAGAGAGATTGAGAGAGAGAGAGGGTGAGGCTTGGCGAGGGTTGCCAACTTCACCGCACCGAAGCCCGGCGCAGCCCGGAAGGCTCGTAGCGCATGCCGTGCGCTTAGGGTTGCCAACTCTCTGTATCGCACCCCGAGAAAGTACACGCACAGCGATAACGAAGTGGCGACTGCACTGCGTTCTCGCGCATGGCGTCACACGAGTGTGTCTAGGACTCGCTCCGGGGCTCGCCCCATCCCCCCGGCGGGGCAACGGCAACGGGGCGGCGCGGACTCCACGGACCCCACCCGCCGGGCCGCCGCCTGCGGGACAGCCCGGACAGCCTGCAGGTTGCGCAAGGATTGCAAGGCACGGGGTGGAGAGCACGAGGCCGTTAGATGCACCACTCATTGCGACACGAGTAGAGATCCCAAACCGAATTCGTTATTCGGCCCGAGGATGCCCGATGCCCGTTACGCCGAGCAGTCAATGACCCACTTTTGTCGTCATCTGGCCTTTTAGAGCAATAAATGTCCCGGGGTGGAGGTGGAGTAGACCCTCCAGCTTCTAATGGCTATAAAAGTTTACTGTGGCGCGTTTCTCCAAAGGGTGTTGAAAGCCTCGCCGTGGCCTGCCTGTGCCCTTTGGCGGGTAGGCAGCCACCGAGTGCAGCCATGCTGCGAGCAACGGTGAATCTGTAAACAAGTCCACGAGCTTTTCTCGGTTTTCTTTTTTGGCGCGCCGATGAGTGACCCCCCCCTCGTTTCCACGCACGTTGCAGTAAGATTCGGGTGGGGGAGGCGATCCGTGCACTCACTTACAGATTGAGCACTTTCGTCGTGCTGTCGTCTCTCTCGCACTCAGCGAGCGTACCACAAGAGAGCGAGGCAGACAGAGTGACAAGCAGTGCCGTACAGGGAGCACCGGATTACAGAATCCGGTGCAGAGGCTGCCAAACAAAGGCTTGTGCCGCCCGGCTCCGGGTCGGCGGGGCGGTCCTGCAACCCTCCTGCAACCAGCCCGCCCCGCCAGCACCTGTCCACCACGTGTCCACGACGCCCCCGCGCCCCGTCCGCGCCCCGCCGCGCGGTGGTCGGCGTGGACGCTGAGGCTGCTGACGGACGGCCCCAGCGTGCCCGGCCAGCCGGCCAGCTAGTCAGCCAGCCTCCGGTAGACTGATTCCGAGATTCCTATTCGTCACCCCATGAGTGGAAAAGAGACAGAGCGGCGAAAACGACTCTCGGAATCAGTCTGCAGGAAACTAAGGCCGCGACAGCCCGGCCGGGTGGGCGTCGCTGCGTCGCGCACCGAGCAATGCGGTGCAGAGTGCAGAGCGGAGCGGAGCTGGGGCCCTCAGGAGGAACACGCGGTCCTTGTCCTTACCTGCCCCGACCTGCCCGGCCCCTTTGTGTCGAGCAGCGGAGGACGGCGGGACCTTCCCGGAGGACGGGGCTGTTTTGACGAGACGGAGCACGGAGCCGAACGAGCAGAGCAAGCTCCTCAACGTGTTCACCAAAACGCAGCCCCATTTGCTCTAAGAAATGACTCTCGTCGACGAGAGCGGAGAACACAACACAACACTCGCTGCAACCTACAGTGTCAGGCGTGTGAAGTCAGTCGAAACGACTGCCTAAAAACCTCGCAAATTTCATGCATGCACTTGCAGGCGACCTTACACTGTCCAGTTCAGAGCCTCTGTTGGATCAGCCGTAGTGAGACTAGAGCCCTACACCCCTTCGGGGGATGTACTCAGTGAGACAGGCGGGACAGGGCAACCCAACCTGTGCTGGAGTACGTTGGGTTGCCTGCTTGCCGGCGCTGTGGCTCGGCCCATGCGCGCAGTCCAGCGTAGCCCCGCCCGGCTATACATCTCCCCCCCCCCCTCTCGCTCTTCCGACACAGTGTAGCAGAAGCCAAAGCCAAGCCCGCTTAGCGGCCTGTCAGTATCAGTAGTACCTTCACTTCTACCCAACGTAGGTGCGGTCCAAAACGAGTGCACGTGGAAAATATTGGTCCCCTTGAACCTGGCGTTTGTTCAAGTTGTGAGTTGTAAACATGTCATGATCTGATTTCCATGAAATTTGGGCTTGTGTCGGTTCGTGCTCCACAACATAACCCTTTCTGCTGTCATGTTTATAATGCTTACACCACTTAGCACTGCTTTATTCTTTGTGCGTTCAATTTGCCTTGATAATAATTGAAATCTATTTTGACAGAACTTATTATCCTAGCAACGAAATTCGTTTGTCTGTTCAAATATTATGAATTATTTTTCTGAGTTATCTACACAATATTGTGCAACTGTGTGATAGTGCTCCAGTCTTAGCTCAACCATGCTCACTGGTGTCACCCTATTTTTATAAATAAAGTTTCACAGACTCTTCCTTTTACAGGTAATCCCTCAAACTAGTGGTGTTGAAATGGCAACGCCACTGGCAGACTCTCCCGCAAGGGACTGCTGTACAAACACACACAGTCCTGTGGATCAAGAACAAAAGCGGCTTCGTCTCCTTAACTTACTTCGGAAAGAGATTGCTGCTGTCCGCACCACAATAGACTCCTACAATAAAGGAATTTCAGTAAGCAATGTTGAGAGAACTGAATAATCTGTAAAACATTATTCATTTGGTGTGTCTCACTTTTCTCCTTAAATTTCTAAATAATGCACTAATTTCATGTATTTCATTGCTTATCCAGCCTTCATTGAACCAGCAGATGCCATATGTTGCCCAACTTCTGAGTGGCTCTGACTCTGCCATGCGAATTACTGTGCGGGGCACAGCACAGGGCCTTGAAGCAACAAGGGAGTTAACTATTAACTTAAACCAAGCCAATGCATCCACTCAAGCTGTAGATAAGAATCATGAAGAAATGATGGGATGGGCACAACTAGTGCATTATCTGCTGCACTCTAGAGGCAGGCTCACCAAGGTAAATTGTAATTTCAGTGAAGGACTTTTTCCCCCTCCATGTTAATTGGTTGGAGTAATTGTGTTAATTTTCATTTTTAGACAAAACCTGTGATTCAGTTTCACAGACCTGACAATAGTATAAGACTTTCAGAGCCCTTTGAATCAATAGGAGAGAAAGCTGAGTATCTTGCTGACTGTACAGAGCTGCGTACGGTATGTTTGATAATGTTTTTATATCTAATTAACAAATATTTTAACATGAGCAGTCCTCAAAGGAATGATACATGTAAACAATAAATTAAGTGTATCATCTTTCTTCATTTCACAGTTTAAAGGACTTCGATCCTTACACTGCGGCTACGATCCAGACTGGGCATTGCGTGTATTGCAGGTTGTGGCACCTCACATTGAAGACTTACACATAACAGACCCAGGCCCAGCACACCTTCAGGTTCTTGCAACTATGCCCAGGTTGGTTAAATTTTTAAGTGAAAATTGCAAGCAGAGAATACTTAAAGCTCTTCCAATACTCACCCAAAACTCTAACTAATTTTGGTTTACAGACTTAGGCGGCTTCAAATTTGGAGTGCGAGTGCTGCTATAGTGTGTGATGACTTCGGTCCATTTAGATGGCCTGACCAGGACAACCCTCTTGAGAGCAAGTTCACTTATGACCTTAAAGACCCTACAAAGGCATGGCAGTTTGAAGATGTTCCTAGGTCACATGTTGGTATAGTGTGGCTAAAGGTATGCTATTATGTAAATCTTTTCAACAACCATCTCTTAAGTTATTAATTAACAAAAAAAACACATAAAATTTCTGGATTATTGTTTTAGATCTGGTTGCCACGTCATATAGCATTACCATTAATTGCACAACACCGCCGTACCCTGCGAGAGCTCTCTCTAGAGGTTGATCTTCCACCAGATAGACCAATAGTAAGCATTTTACCCAAGGCCTTTTTGAAAATACTTTTCTGAAAAAGAGTGGATTTTTAAAAAATTAATTATATTTTGTTTGTTTCAGAGTGAACTCTGCGACCCTAACTGGGCGTGGGGCAGTAATGACTTGCCAGAGCGTTTGGGCGAACTGGTGGAGCGTTACCAGTTTGATGCACTGCGCCTTGTGGAGCTCTACCGTATCTCAAAACATGGAAGGTCATATCAAAAGTGCCAGGTACAGCTCCAAGCAGTGCGCAAAGCTATTGCTAAGAGCCTAGGCACTAGAGTGGTAGTAATATGCAACCGTTGTGGCTAAGCTGTAGTATTTGCCAGAGTGTGCGTTGTTAACAATCCTTTCTGTGATAAAAAAACAAAAAAACAATCTATTTTGATAGCAGAGTATGCACAAATTTGTGTTGACAGATGTTTGATATGTTTATAAGGTAATTTTCTAACCCTGGAAACATTAGAGGGATGTATTACAGATAATTTATTTGTGACAAAACATTCGTTTCGGGGTGGCATTTTTCCATTTTCACTTTTGCTGTACTGAGTCTGATACCCATTTGAGATAATCTTCGCTCCCGCTTTCAATCTGGAAAAGAAACAAAAGTTGAAAAAATATCAACCTTAAGTGTTTTTATTGAAGCAAAATTTTTAGGAAAGGGTGGATGTAAGACGTAAAAAAGACTTGTATGATTAATTAAGGGATGGGAATACTTACTGGAACTGAAATGACTTCGGGGCAATCATACGGGTGATCATTCCTGTAAAAAAACAGAACATTTTTAAGAGAGAAATTCTTTATAATTTTTAACACATTCAGTATGAACTATTTGTTTCCAATAGCTTACTTGACCAACTGAACAACATCTGCTATAAGCGAGGTTCTCGTTTTAATCATCTGAAAATTTAAGCATGTCTTTTCAGCTACAAGTAGTTGCCAATAGATTCAATTTTGTAAAGGAATGACTGAAAAATAAACTCACCATTAATACTTCAGAATCTTCATTAAGTTTTCCCTCCCATTCATACCTAAACACACCAAAGAGAAAATGATATATTGAGCGTGCAACAAAATTTAGCATGAATCCAATTTAAATAACTTACACAGAGGTAACTTTTGGAACTATATTCACACATGCGGCTAATTTTTGTTGTACAATAGACCTAGTAGAACAATTGAATAAAATTATTAGGAAAAAATAATGTAGCAAAGTCAAAGATACTCCATGCAGCTGAACCGTACCGGGCTAGTTTCTTGGCCACTTCCTCAGAGGGAGCCGTTACATACGCTATTGAATTGGAACCAGTAACATAAGTCGATGCCATTCTAAACAAACTCCTCGGAATTCCTTGAGAATACAGAACTGCACTAATGGCTCCAAAGAGAACACTGCACCGGCTGTAACATCATTCAAAGATAATGTAATAACAGAAAATGTATATATTCCAGCGGACATGGGGTCTTTATGAGACCTACCCCAGAGACACTAATGCCATTGAACAGTGATTTTGCCTCGTGTTCCTAGAAACAAAACTTTACTGTCAACAGCTCTAATATTGCTTTGAAACGAAATCCACAAGGATACCCACCTTCCCACACTTCACAAATTAAATTGTGTTTTGTTTTGCTTAACCCCAACCCAAGCTGATCAAAACATTGGGCAGACGACAAAAGACACGCTGCCCTGCCCAAAACCACGGGATTGCCGAGCAACAAATGAACTTGCGGAGTTGCAGATGAGAACAAGCAAGTGGCTGGGGAAAAGCGACAAGACAGCCAAGACACAAGAGAACGGACAAGCCTCAACTCAAACAAAATTGTCAACAGAGAAGCCGGGCCGGCGCTTGTTTCATTCTGTACCAGAGTTGTGCCGGTTGTGTCACCGCCGCGCGGGGGAAAGGGAGGGGGAAGCGCGAGTGCTGCCCTCTGGCGGTGGCGGCTCGCCATCCGGTACGAGGCGCGTCAAACAAACAGGGGCGCGAAACGTGCGATACAAACAAAACTTCCTGCTCGGTTCGTTATTTTAGTTGGTCACGTGAAAAGAAATGCAGTGTTTATTCTGATATTTTTCAGGTTGTTTCCTGCTTCGGGGAGTTGACGTAGCAAAAACCTTGGTAAGGTTGTTCAGTCCACGCCTTCGTTCGGGTTCGGATTGGCGCTGCGGCGGTCCAGGCGGTGGGCATCCACGATTCGGGGCATCTGCGCATTTTGAACACGGGCTGCCTCCAACTCATGTCTTGAGACCCTTTCGAGGTTGGCAAAGTGGCTAACCTCGCGTAGCGGTCACAGCGGAGGCGAGGGTCTCTGGGCGACGGGGGTCGCGGGCCGGGCCGCGGAGGGGCCTCGGTGCGGCGGTACACCAAGGGCTCCGTGCGTGGCGCGGCCACCGTCACGGCAGTGTCACAAGTCCTGTCACGCCATTCGTCACTCGGCAGCGGCAGGCCTCGGCAGTGCTCGTCACGGCACTGCTCCAGTGACGCCTGCCGCCGCTTGCGGCACTGCTCGAGTGGAGGGCGGCCCGGGGGAGGCTCCCTGGACTTGCTGCAGACACGCTTCAGGCTGTGGCACTCTACGTCCTGCTGCGCGCCGTGCGTGCCACGCAGCTTACTCGGATCACCCAGAGATCGCCTCACCTCAGCAAGTTAGCGAGCCAAGACCGCCTGGGCCGTTCGCTGCGGCCGCCTTGAGACTTGCACGTGTTTCCGAACGCCCGCCCATCCACCCCCGGACGTGCGGCGGTGGAGTGCAACTTGAGCCGACTCTGAATCTGAATCGTAGTGTGTTCCCCGGAGTCCGTTTTGAGCGACGAAGGGCTTCCGCCCGACTGTTAGCAGGGTATGTCTTACCTGAACGCTTTGGATGTCATGACAGAGAATTTTGAAACAGGGTCGAAAAGGAGCCATTATTCTTTTATTTTTGATTTTCGTTGCATTTTAACAGCGGCTCCAGGTGCCATTGTTGTGACAGACATTTATTGTTGAGAAGAACATTAGAGTTTAGATTCGGATTCAATACACTTGGTCGCACAGTTATTCTTAAAATCATGTGTGATCGATCTGAGCGAGAGGATTGAATTGGGGTATCGATGAGGTCGAAAGAAATCGGTGCAAAAATGCAATCCGTTCCGTATTGTCCTTTTAGAAAGAATAGGTGCCGATGACCTCGGGCTGGCTCTGGATGCTCTTGTCGCCCACGTCGGTCTTGTCGAGGGCGCAATGCGGGTCGGCCTCGGCGGAGGGGGCCTCGTCCGTCTCGAGGAGGTCGAGGTCGTACTTGCCGTCGGCGCCCATGCGGTACAGGTTGTCGTCGCCGCTGGGCCAGCGCACCGACACCCAGCCGGTGTTGGAGACCCTGCCGAGGACGCGGCCCTCGCCGGCCGGAGTGCCGTCCTGCGCGCCCCACTGCCAGTCCTTGCCGCGGACCACCCTGGAGCACGGCTTGAGGCGCGCGGCCGCCTCGGCGCCCGCCACGCGGCCGGCCTCGACTTCCTCGACTTCCTCGACTTTCTCGACTGCGGCGGAACCTGCAGCAGGGGAAAACGCTACAGCTTCGAGGACGCCAAGATCTTTTTGCCCCGCACCACGGAGGTGTACCAAGGTGTACTCACTCATCGTCGTCGTCGCGCTCTCGGTGACGGCCTCGTCGTCCGAGTCATCCTCTGACTGCGAGTTGTCGGCAGGGCTGTCGGGCCGGAGCCACTCCCACTCGGTGGTGGGCGCCGACGTGGAGGTCGAAGGCGAGGGCGAAACGGTGGTTGTGCTCGTGTTGGCTGAGGTCGTCGGAGTGCGTGTCTCGACCACCGACGAATCCGTCTCTGTGGTGGTGGCAGGCTCCTGCGTGGGGGTGGCGGTGCCTGCGGTGCCGAGCACGGCCAGGTCGCGCTTCTCGCCCATGCGGTAGTTGTACTGCTTGCCGCTCGGCCAGCGCACGCTGACCCATCCGCTGACGGGGCTGTTGACGGCCACCACCACGCCCTCGCCTGGGGGATTGCCGTCCTGGTCGTCCCACCTCCAGTCCTTCCCCCGCACCACGCGCGAGCCGACGGCGACCCCCGTCGCGGCCAAGGCTTCGGCGTCCTCGTCCGACTCCGAGTCCGCGGTGTCCGCGACCTCCACGATCGTGGAGGTGTCCTCGTCCGCGGTGTCCGCGGTACCGGGGAACTCGCTCGCGTCGACCACCACGGCCAGGTCGAACTTGTCGTCGCCGGCGTCCATGCGGTATACGTTCTCGTGGCCGTTGTCCCAACGCACCCCCACCACACCGGCCAGCCTCATGAGCAGCCCCTTCGAGGTGACGCGGCCCAGGCCCGACCCGTCCTGGTTGCCCCAGTCCCAGTCGCGTCCGCGCATCACCCTGGCGCCGACCTTGAGCAGGGGCAGCGCGCCGGGGCCGGTCACCACCCTGGAGCCAGGAGGGGCGGCACTGCGTTCGGAGGGCTCTGCGGAGGCACGATCGCGTCAGTCATGTGGCTCTGCCTTACAGTGGCGCACAACACACAGCAGCCAACTGGCCACGGAAACAAACGACAAACTCACCCACGGGTGTGTACTGGACCTTGATGTCGGACACCCACACCCCCGGCTGGATCTGCAGGGTGTCTGCGTCGTCGCTCACCTTGACGGTGGCCACGTCCTCGGGGTGGCTGCGGCGCCAGATGGACATCCACCCCGGACGCCTCGCGACCACGAACTCCAGCTCACCAGAGCTGAACCGGTCGCCCTCGGAGAGGCGGGTCTGCGCAATAAGGAATGAACAGTGATAGCATCAGGCAAACGCATAGTCTCGCTCGCGAGTCAACACGGTGCACGACGAACTCACGAAGTTGAGCGCGCACAGGCGGCTGTTCTTGTTGCAGTCGCTGGCCAGCACGTAGGACAGCTTCCCGGCCGGGGTCAGGCCGTGGACGTCCACGTGGCTGCAGGAGTGCTTGCCGCACGCGTGGAACTCGATGTACTTCTGCGGGCTTTTGTACTGCACGCGGGCCGTCGTGTTGCGGCCTTGGGGGAGGCTGACAGTGTTCGCTGTTGGACAACAACGAAGAGGCGGCTCCAGGTTTGTTTTTCGGAGGGGCTGTGACGCGCCTTTTGGCCACCTTCAGGGCAAGGGGGCCTCTACCCTCACGCCCCGTCCAGCAATGCCACTCACCTCTGCACGTCGCCGCGTCCTCGTCGGACTTGTCGGCGCAGTCGGCGAAGCCGTCACACCTGTCCAGGAACCTCGCGCAGCCGCCACTCTTACACTGGAACTCGGGGCACGTCACTGGAACACACAAACGCACGTCCCTTGACCGTACCGCCCTCTGCGTCCGCGCCTCGAGCGCAGTGGCCTTCTCTAGACTCACCGTCGGCGTCGTCCTCGGCCTGGCCGTCGTCGAGCACGGCCAGGTCGTACTTGCCCTCGGCGCCCATGCGGTAGATGTTGGACTCGCCGGCCTGCCAGCGCACGCCGACGATGCCGGTGGCTCGCATCAGGGTGCCGTAGGCCACCACCTCGCCCGGCCCGGGGGGGCTGCCGTCCTGCGAGCCCCACTTCCAGTCCTGGCCGCGGAACACCGTGGCGCCGACCCGCAGCAGGGGCTTGGCCTCGGGGCCCGTCACGTTTCTAGCCTGCGCTGTAACAACGACATCCTTCAACGACCGCCCTGCCCTTCCAAGCTGTGTTCTCGGACTCGTCGCACAGCTCGACACCTACTGTCCTGCGACATCTCGCGAGCCTCGCCCTCGGAGAACTGCACCTCCAGGTCGGCAAACCACCGAAGAGGTTCGACGCGCAGTCGGTTCATGCCGGGGGCGGCGGCCACTGTGGCCGCTGTCCTTCGGTGCCCCTTCTGCCACACGGCGAGCTTGCCGGGCAGCCGGCCCACCACGAACTCGTACTCGCCGGACACGAAGCTCGGCGAAGAGTCAATGTGTGTCTGAAAGCAGCAAGTTCATCCTGTTGGCCCCCGTGAGATGATTTCAGCACTGCTTTCAGTTGCTGCGATACGCATTTTTGGCTTGGGGCAGGAGTCGCTACACCGCAGCGCCACTTACAAAGTCCATGTCACAGCCGCGCGCGCGCGCGTTGCAGGCGGTGCCGGCGGCGTAAGACATCCCCCCGCCCGGCTGGAAGCTGTCCACCGTGAGGCTGCTGCAGGACGCGGCGTCGCACAAGCGGAAGGCGATGGCGCGGTGGGGGGCTTTGTACTGTACCCGCACTGTCACGTTCTGGTTCACGGCCAGCGGCACGGCGTTGGCTGAAAACAAGCAAGGGTATTCCCCGTCAACGCCGCCGCGCGAGAAAACGCGAGACGCAGGGGCGCTTCGCTGCTTTTGCGCAAGTCAAGTTGCACCCCCCATGGGGGAGGGGGAGAACAGCGGGGTTTTCGTTCGCCCCTCTGAAAGTTAGACAAACAGTGCTACTTGCCCCCCTAAGGCCGCCTCTGGATCCGCCTCTGGTGCTTGCGACGCGACGCCTTGCGACTCACCTCCACACTTGGCGGCCAGCTCGTCCGTGCCGTCGCCGCAGTCGTCCATGCCATCGCAGATGTCGCGGAAGCCGACGCAGGCGCCGTTCCTGCACTCGAACTCGTCACACGCCGCTGGAAGGGTGTGCGCGTTAGTTTGGACAACGACACTGTGAGTGAGTGCACTGTCAAACTGAGTGAGGACAAATCCACATTTCCTGGCGCGGAGAAACAGTCTCCCTCGGTCTCCTCACCTCAAGTGTGGAGTAGTCTACCTGACATGGTTCAAAAGTGGAGAACGCCACTCTTGAAGTTTGGATAACCCCGCTCTTCCAAGTGCAGAGACTGAAAACCTCACACCTCCGCATTTTGAGGGTGGAGTTCCCCATAGTTTGACAGTGCGTGCTTCTCCTACACCCCTGACAGCTCACCCGTGAACAGCGGCGCCCCCAAGAGCGCCACCAGCAGCAACCGGCCCTGAAGGAACATGTTTTGAAACTGAGGCTCGGCCGATTTCTGCGCCTTTTATCACTGTCTGTGAGACTGTGTCAGCACACGAGGTTGACCCGGGGGGTCACTCAAGGCGCGAGATAACAAACCTACTTCGGAGAACGCGCTCTCGGAAGCAGCGGAAAAAAAAATCACAAAAATTGATTGACTTACGGTGACCGCTTCCGTGGCGCTCCTTAGCTATACGTGCTGGATTGTGTGCACAGTAAGCGAGGCGATTGTGGATCTAAGCTGGATGTCTGCATTTTGATACAAAATTTTCAGACTGGGACAGGATTGAAAATCATAAATGAGTATGTGTAAATTTGCGTCACACAAGATAATCTGAAATTTCAGAAAAAAAATAGTGAGGGAGGGTGGTTGGCACTGTGTGTTGTAATGGACCTCGCTAGAACGATTTCCGCGGGAGGATTTAAAAAACAACATTTGGGAATCGATCCGGCCGTTTACGTTGCGTCGGTTTTGTTTTATCGCGTTGTGGCGACTTTTCCTCTTTATCTCGTACAGCACAGCAGACTGGCGAGATTATTGCAGACGTTGTTATTTTTGTCTTTCTTTGAATTTTGGATTTTTGTAAACGAAGCAGGAGTGGCATTCATGTGGCTCGTGATAATGGTAAATCAATGGTTCTCCCACTGTCTTTAAAACTTTATTAAAATTGAAAAACAGGTTAATGAAATTTGAGATTGTTTACCAAATGCAAGAATTTGTTAAATGCAAAAACAACATTTGAGAAACAGATTATTACTTTTGAAATTTGGTTCTTACTTTTAAGAAGAAAAAGTTTATTACTTTTACTACCAAAAAGTCTTTGTAAACTGCTTCATAAAGTTTCTTAAAATTGAGATGGATTTTTTTAACAGTGATTGCTTGGCGAAAGGTTTCATGTCCGCAAGGACAAACTGCCACATGTCTTTGACGATGTCTCGGTCGCGCACAAAGTTGTAGTGGCCGAATGCGTCGTTCGGGGACAGGAAGAATCGCCGGACGTTCCGCAGCCTGCTCTTCAGCAGCACCTGATCCTGCAGACACAAGCATAATACGAAAGAACTTTGCAAAGTCTGCTGCACTATCAATGGATAATTTTTACCGGGTAATTTTCACCATAGTATGGAGAAACTTCACCACAAGACTTGTGCTTACCGCCGGCGTGCACGTCAGGTCCCCCTTGCCGTTGTACAGGTACACCGGGGTCGTGATGGTGTCCAGGCGGTAGTCCGGCGGGACGGGGGAACCGTACTGCGCCACGTTCGCCGCCTCACTGCCGTAGTCGTACTGCCGGAAGGCGGGCCCTTCGCACAAGAGCACGGACGGGCTTCAGCACAAAACGCACCGCGAGCCCGGTTCGGCAAGGACGCCGCACTTACTCTGGCTGCCCGCTAGTTGTGCGGTGTGCAGGACCTGCCGCACGGTGGCGCCGTCCGCGAAGTACAGCGGCGACGTGTAGCCCTGGAACACCGCGTCGACGGTCAGCACCGCTTTCGTCGTCGTTTCCGTCGCTCTGTCTCTTTCCCACTCATGGGTCGTGCCGCACGGGTGCGAGAGAGACAGAGGGCCAAGCGTCTAGACTCTGCAGGGCGGTTCATTGCTTCCATTACTCACGAAGCGGTGCGGCCCGGCGGCGCGGCCCGCGATATCGCAGAACTGGCGCCGCGATGTCGCGGTGGCGGCCGACGTCGCGCCGGTGCACAACTCGTCTGCGACCTTTTCCAACAGCTGGGTGGGCCGTCTGTGCTCGTGCAGCCGTTCCGATGCGGCCTTGTCAAGGCCACGAGAAAGAAAAACAAAAACAAATCAGCACCGTTGCCGTTTTTCGCCACATTTCCTTTACGTTTTGTTTTGATGCCGCGCTTCCCTACTGACATGAGCTACGCGGCCATGAGCGGACGAGCCTGTTCGAGACTGACCTGGGTGATGTTGACGATGGGCTCGACGGCGAGCAGGTGCTCGTCCTTGGTGCGCGTCATGAAGACGGCGGGGGCGAAGAGGAAGGCGGCGCGCACCCTGGCCGCCAGGTCGGGCCGCTCGGAGGCCATCACGAAGAAGGACGTGCCCCCCATGGAGTGCGCGCCGAAGACGAGGTCGCGCTGCCCGGAGCGCGCCAGCACGTACTCCAGCATGGCCGGGTTGTCCAGGGCTCCGTTCTCGTGCCACCTGGGCGAAATGACATCGGCCAGTCAGTGGACGCGGCCAGTCAGTGGACGCGGCCAGTCAGTGGACGCGGCCAGTCAGTGGACGCGGCCAGTCAGTGGACGCGGCCAGTCAGTGGACGCGGCCAGTCAGTGGACGCGGCCAGTCAGTGGACGCGGCCAGTCAGTGGACGCGGCCAGTCAGTGGACGCGACCAGCGACGGCTTACCCAAACTTCCAGAAGGCGTCATCCGAGCTCTTCAAGTGGACGTGGTTCAGAGAAAACGGCGTGCCGCGGAAATTGCCCAGCCAAACGTCGAAACCAGCATCGTACAGCAAGAACGCTGCACGTCGCGAACAATAAAATCAATCCATTAAGAATTTGATCAATGCCTTGAGGGAAAGTGTGTTGCCTGCAGTGCTTTAGCGACGACCACACCGACCGAGGGCCTTCCCCTTGCCCAGCACCAGGTAGGACGCGGCCGAGCCCGCCATCTGGTTGGCCAGGAAGACGACGCGCGCGCCGGGCCGCGGGATGCGGTCCAGCTGCAGGATGTAGCCGTCCTTGGTGGTCACGTTGTGCACCTCGGCCGGGTAGCCGTTGTACTGGATTATGGATGCCTACGGGGCAGACGGGGCTTGGGGGTTTCACGCCGAACTCACAGCCTTTTGCTTTTCAGCACAGCGTTGCAATCTGGTCGCACTCACCGGAGTCCGATGCGTGTAGCAAGGCACTGCCACCATCAAGAGCAGCGCCAGGCCCCACATGGGGCTGCAGTAGGTCTGTAAAATTTGTCATGCGATTTGCTGATAGGTTTTGTTTGTTTACTATGTGGCCCATGTGGCGTAAAGCAGCCAAAGATCTAGAGATCACTCACCATACTGGTACGTGGGCTCCTTCAAAAGAGACCCGAACTGCGCCGGGCCAATGAGAACACTGACGAATACCGCCTCCGAAGTGCGGCTGTGCGCACTGCACCTGGCCGACCCGCGGCCCTTAATTACCGTTGGTCACGATGTACATAAGCTTCGACCACTAACACTGAAGACTGACTGTTGTTTTTGGGTATTTGGGACGTCACGGTGGCGTGTCCACTGTGACGTTGCAGGTTTGCGCACAATACATTGTTGTTTGTGTTCCAATGTGGGCGAAGAAAATTGGCCTCCGTGCCTTTCCGATGCGCGGGCATGCTAGGCAAGCATCTTGTTGCAGTAGACATATCTTTATTTGTTCACCTTACTTTACACATGGATCACAGTACATAAGATAATAAAGTTACTTTTAAGTCATGACACTGTTGACTGGGCGCGCGGCCTGCGTGGCGCTGCTACACGTCCTCGAGGGGCACCTTGTCGCACATGCTGCACTGCACGAGGGTGGCGGGCAGCGCGCGGCGCACGGCGTCCAGCTGCTTGCGGCAGGCGGCCTTCTCGTGCGACACCCAGTACCGCCGGAGCACGAGGCGCGCGGCGCGCACGCCGCAGCGGCCCAGCAGGCCGTGCAGGTCGCGGCACTCCTTGGGCCACTCGGCGCCGCCCGGCGTGCCCACCAGCAGCCACAGCTCGTCGAGCGCCGCGCCGTGCGCGCGCAGCAGGGACTCCACCGTGCCGCGGGGCAGGCCGTTGAGGCCGAGCCACTGCAGGCTGCTGGGCTGCGGCAGTGCGGGCAGCGCGCCGGGGTACTGCTTGGCCAGGGTGTCGTCGTGGCACAGGCGCAGGCGCCGCAGCCGCGGCATGGCGTGCACCACGCCCAGGTGCTCCGCGCGCGGGTACCACAGGTCCAGCTCCTCCAGCGTGGCGGCCGCGCCGCGCAGCACGTCCAGGCTCCAGGCGGCGTCGTGGTTGCAGTACACGTGGGTCATGCGGCGGACCTGCGGAGCACAACGCGTCGTTCGAGTCGCTCTGGAACCCTTGAAACCGGAGCCGGGAGCCCCTGCGAACTGGCGGCTAGGCAACCACGTGAACAGGCGAGCGTTGCAGCGGCGCGCTGCCTACCTGCCGGGCGCTTCGCCCTCCGCCGCTGCGCCTCGCTGCGCCTCGCTCCGCGCCGACTCACCCCTTGGCGACGGATCAGCGACAAGGTGTTGGCCTTGTCGTCCAGCCGCTCGTCCCTGCCGGTGGTGTTGAGCTGCCGCAGGTCGAGCTCCTGGATGCGGCTCTCGTCCGGAGGCATGGCCGCGCCGGCACCGGCCTGGCCCTGCAAAAGACGGGACTGCACTTGCACGCCGCTGCAGCAATAACTGCGGCTGGTTGGCGCTGGTTGGGCTGCCTGCCCGCCCGGCGGCGCCCGCCGACTCCTGCAGGACTCCCCGCAGCCCGCGGGAGGCGAGGGCGCCCCGGCGGATGCAATAGTAGGAGTGGGAAACACGTACTTTGCGGTGGCGGCAGGCGGCGACCTGCCCGGAGTAGCGCGAGTCGCCCCGCCTCGGCCCGCCTCGCCCCGCCTGGCCGGCCGAGCGCGCTGACGTCAGCACCGCCCTACATTGAAAGAAAGGAAAAACAGTGCTCAGTAGCGGGAAGCGGCAAAGGGTCTAGGGCTGGCCTGGGGCAGCGTCGTAATATGCTGCAGGCCGCAGCGGCCAGCTTGCCTTACCGCCAGCTTTGCGCCAGTCGCGCCGACGCCCCGCGCCGGCGCCCCAGCCCGCTGGCCTGCTTCATTTTGAATTTCCTAGCAAAGCCGGGTGATTGGTTGGTGCAACCGGTGCAACGCCGCCAACCTGATTCGGCCTGAACACGGTGCTTAGCCCGGCAGCTGCCGCCAGCCCGGCAGCCAAGTCGACCGTCTCCCTCTCTCTCGTCATGTGCTCGCTGGCTTTGGTGGCTTTGCTGGCACGGGGGCAGAAAATTGCCGATACATATCGTGCGTGCCGCGCGCCGCAAGCAGAAATCCAGGGAAGCGGTCTTCTGGGGCCAGCCCCGGCCTGCCTGCTGCAAGTGGGGCTGCAGTCCGCGCCACGGGGGCCCCGCCGACAGGCACAACTAGGCCCCGACGCCCCCGGGCCCACCGCGCTAGCCGCGCTAGCCGCGCAAGCCCGTGACCAGGGAAATGACTGGGTGCACTGCTCTGGACAAAATCGTATCCAAACAGGTTCCAGGAACGGCTACACCCGCGCCGACTTGGCCAACGTAGTCGGGTAACACTACTGGGCTTACGACCTCGCGCGTACAGTGAATTTAAAAAAAAAATAGATCAACGGGATTGAGGTGTCGCAAGTGATTCCTGGGATTTCGGTCTCTATGGGTCTCTTCAGGAATATTCTCCTTCGATTAAAGGGCAAATTGCAGTGACATACTCTTTACATTTATATGTCCTACGAATTGGAAGGGTGTTTTACTACATTGTAAACTTTTAGCTTCAAATCGGTTTAAATGCAGTACGACAAGAAGCTCCATCTCGTTAGCTGACAGACACCCACAAAAACCAGGGCATACCACGGCAAGCACTCAAGCGCGAGTGTTCCTGGCAAATGAACGAAAAAAAAACACAAACAAACAAAAAATACAACAAAAGGGGTGCCCAAGATCTTCTTTAGTTTATTCTGTAGATCTGCGGATAACATGATCCAGAGGAGATATTCCACTTACAGCAACAATCATAAGAAGCACTTTGTAAAGCTTTGTAAAGCTTCCAACGAACCATAAATCTCATCGCGAATTACTTGATCAAAATCATTAGATCAAAATATTTCTACAAATATTACTGCAGAAAAATACTGTGGGTCCTGCATAATTTTATTTTTGATGCGGGTCGCTGGGCGCTGGGCATACATAACAACACCCACGCGACGCGACGCGACGCGAGGAGGGCCCGAAGAAGGGACCGGTCCAGCCGGCCTTGCCCGGCGGGTTCCCAGACGGTCCCGAGGGTCCGCGAAGGGACGCGCGGCACGCGGCACGCGGCACGCGCGCCTCGGGCGTGTACAGTGCAGCGGCATGCACGCAGCGACACGCCGACACGGTACTTACTTGTAGCGGCGGCCGAAGGACTCGGCGAACTCCACTCCTGTCGGCTCCGCGAACTACTCTGCGAATGTGAAAGTGTGGGCACGCCAACCCTCCCGTCCCCCTCCCCGCCGCCACCTTTCGCTCTGTGCGTCATTCGGGCTCCCTAGGAGTTACCTAGGAGACGCCGTCGTGGAGGGGGAGGGGGCTCGCCAATTCGTCATCTACCACATCTACCGCGCACAGCGCCCAGCGCACAGCGCAGCACAGCGCACAGCAGCCGGCGCGGCGTCCTCCTCCCGCCATCCGCGGCCGTCCGCGGCTGTCCGCCGCGGGGCGCTGGACCGGCCGCGGGCCGCGCCGATGGGCCGACTCATGAGTGCGAGAGAGAAGCAGGCCGCAGGCCGACACGGTGCCTGGACCCGTCGAAGAAATAAAAAGCATGAAGCAGTTTCTGGCCTTGCAAAATATGCCAGCAAAACTACTCACAAGTTACAAGGACTTCCGTCATTAAAAAATTTCCATTCAAGGAACGTTTATGGAAGCAGATGATACTCGTCTGGTACCGGCCTGTGTGCTAGCTGACAGTATGCTCTTTATATCTGTGATTGTATATACAATTGTAAAGAAACTGAGCCCTTTGTGCCGTGGCCTGCACCGCCGCGCCCTGCCCATTGGATTGCGAACGCCTGGTGCTTCGGACTGGCCAGGGCAGACAGGCAGAAAAATCTGCCGGGACCTTCGGATTTGTGACCAGTAACGTCACAAAGTTGGTCAAAAAGTGATTAAATCTCCGAAAGTAGCCGTTTTCGCTGAATTTGAGCGGCCACTGTGTCCAATCTAGTTGCCGTAAAAGGCCTCCCTCGACGTCCTAGTATTCTTAAGACCCTACTCTTTCATGCCCTGTGTCGGGAAGACGTTGACCACAACGATTTTGCCTTTGACCGCAACGATTTTGGGACCAAAGTTGGTCAAAAAGTGGTCGAATATCGGAAATTTGCTGATTTTGCTGACTTTGGGCGGCCACTGTGTCCAATCTAGTAGCCGTAAAAGGCCTCCCTCGACGTCCTAGTATTCTTAAGACCCTACTCTTTCATGCCCTGTGTCGGGAAGACGTTGACCACAACGATTTTGCCTTTGACCGCAACGATTTTGGGACCAAAGTTGGTCAAAAAGTGGTCGAATATCGGAAATTTGATGATTTTGCTGACTTTGGGCGGCCACTGTGTCCAATCTAGTTGCCGTAAAAGGCCTCCCTCGACGTCCTAGTATTCTCAAGACCCTGCTCTTTCATGTCCTGTACGGGAAGGCTATTGACCGCAACTAGTTTGGGAGCGGTAGCCTTACAAAGTTGGTCATGAAGGGTAAAAACAATGATGATCGGGGGCCTTTTGCGGTCTTATCTGCCGGGGCCTTTTGGGGGCCAGTCCGAGCCTGGCTGGCGCTGTACGCTGGGAGGGATTGTCAGTGTTCCGCGCAGGCCATCGCGCACGAGGAGGGGTGCCATTGCCATTGTTTACGCCCGGTGCCGCTGTATCCGGGGGAGGAGTTGTCGATGTGTCGCGCAGACTGCGAGCCACTCACTCACTCACTCACTCACTCACTCACTCACTCACTCACTCACTCACTCACTCACTCACTCACTCACTCACTCACTCACTCACTCACTCACTCACTCACTCACTCACTCACTCACAAACTATCCCGCCCCGCGGCAGCCAGCTCCTATTATATTGTTAGGATACACACTTTATGTTTTGAAGTAGTAAAGGTATCATCTGCTAAAAAGCACACATTCACTTCAATTTTATTCAAGTTACATATTTACATGGGGTGGGGGTGGGGGGTACAATTTGTACATTTTGTATTTTTGGCACAATGACACTGAATGAAGCGGAGGCCTCTGCCGGACCAGGCGCCTCCTCGCTACAGGCCTCACAGGCCGTAGACCGGGGGTTCTTCGGCGTGCTCGAGGCCGTGCGGCCCCCGGCGGCGCAGGCGCACCTTGACGCCGCCCTTGACGCTCAGCGAGATGCCCCCCACGAGGGGCACGTCCACGAGGCGGCGCGGGCCGTCGGGGTCGGGCAGCACGTCGTAGCGACGCAGCACCGAGGCCGCCACCGTCTTGGCGAACATCATGGCGAACCGCTGGCCGATGCAGCTCCTCAGCCCCGTGCTGCAAGTTCAGTCCCAACAGTGACCTCGAAGAAATACTTCCGGATTTGAATGGAAAAGAAAAGACTTTGTTGTGGTGTTCGCTGGCTTTGCTATGGCCGCAATCAAAAATCCGAAACGTGCCTACAACCGGGATTTTCGACTTTCGGATTCAGTCGATGAAACAGAGTGGATCAGCAAAACAAAGTCTTTGCCTCTGTGTGCTTACCTGAACGGTATGAACGCGAACGGGTGCCGGTCTCTGCTGTTTTCGGGCGTGAAGCGCTCGGGGTCGAACCGCTCCGGGTCGGGGAAGTACTTGGGGTGGCGGTGCGTCCACAGGGGGAACACGCCCACGTAGCAGCCCTCGGGGATGACCCTGCCCGACGGCAGCGGCACGTCCTGCGAGGCCACGCGCGCGAAGACCGGCACGGAGGGGAAGAAGCGCAGCGCCTCCTTGAGGGCGCACTCCAGGTACTTCATGTGGGGCAGGTCCGAGGCCACGATGTCGCGGTCCCTGTCCGACCCGAACACGTCGTCCAGCTCCTGCAACCAATGCCTGTGTTACTACACGGCTCTGGAATGGGGTGGGGGCACCGGCATAGGATCAGTAAGTCTAGCCTTTCAAGTCAAGTCATGTCTCTCCCTGTGCCTGTCTGCAGGTGGAGTGTCATGGTTTTTGCCTACCTCCAAGCCTGGCCGGGCATGCCCCGCCCCCTCCTTTCTAGGCCCGGCACTGAACGGTTTCGCCAGACAATAAAGGGAGTCGGTCCAGAGACCGCGCGTCTAAACGTGTAATTTGCCTTTTCACAGCCGCCAATCTCACCTGCTGCACTTTGCGCTGCATGTCCGGGTACAGGGACATGCACAGCAGGAACATGGACTGGAAGTCCATGGAGGTGCCGATGCCGGCGAACAGCATGGTCTTGAGCTCGTCCAGCAGCTCGGCGCGCGTCAGCACGCTCGCCTCGGTCGACGACAGGAACGTGTCCAGGAAGGTCTGGCGGCGGTGCGCCGCGGGGGCGGGCGTGGTGGGCGCGGTCTGCTGCAGCTGGGGAAAGGAGAGGACGAGCGGGTCAGCGTCGAGTTTGCCTAACACTGAAACAAAGGGAATGTGTTCCCGCAGATCGAGTGAAAGTCCGATTAATAAAACTCCTGGAAAATCATCGACGGGGCCATCTGCTCATCTAGCTCCGCCAAGGCGAGTTTCTCTGTAGTAATCTTTTTCTTTCCTCTGGCACGGTACGTAACAACATCGCGCATTAGCTGCAGTGCCATCACGGTGCAGTGTGTGCAACGAGCGGCCACTTTTTTTCTTTTAGAGAAGAAATGTCTTGCGTTTTCCGAATCGGCAACCAAAATCGTCTTATTTTGCATTCTGACGCATTTTCGCCCCCATTCGTCCCAAAACGGGCGGTTGGTCCAGTGCTGTGTCGCAACGCGAGACGCCGTCTGGGACCGTCGCGTCCCGTTTCCGCGCCTGCCCTAAGCATCTCCCGCGAAAGGCGCCGAGCCACGCCGAGCCACGCCGCGCCACGCCGAGCGACACCGCCCATGTGCCGGAACCGGTTGCCCGCCTGCCTCCACCCAGGCCCGCCCCGCCCCGCCCGCCCCGCCGCCACGCCGGGCTCAGACTGTCCTAGACTCAACCGGGCCCGATCATTGCCACTCGGCTCGTCCGAGCAGTATTCGTCACTGACTGGTCCGAGTATAAAGTAGTGTGCGCCGCCTGCGCTGCCAATGGGTGGCCCAGAGAGGCGTAGCGCGGCAGTTGCGCAACTGGAACTTGATGCTGGTCATTGAATATAGACTGCCGGTACACCGCGAAAAAGGCCGCAATGTCGACGTGATTCGACGGACGTCAACGCCTACACCAGGGTGCACCCACCATCTGCGTCTTCTGCGTGAGGACCTTGTCGGCGAAGTTGGTGCCGCCCTCGACGACCTGGTAGTAGCGCTCGTACCACGACGACAGCTTGAAGAGCAGCCGGCTGCGGAACCAGGGCCGCAGGCCGCGGTACAGCATCACCTTGCTGGCGTCGTGCACGATCTGCACGAAGGCGTCGCGCTCGGCCTCCAGGCCGGGCGCCTCGGCGGCCAGCACGGTGCGGCACACGGACAGGCTGGCGCAGCGGCCCAGGTCGTGCAGCACGTCGAACACCTCGCCGGTCTCGGCCAGCGGGTCCAGGCGGGCCTCCAGCTCGCGGCAGTTGACGCCGAACATGGTGACGAACTCCTGCAAGGCGTCGCGGTCGCGGCGCACCGGAGCGCACCGCGGCCAGTCGGTTAGTTCACACAAGGCACGCATCACTCATGCAGGCGAGGCTCTGGCCGCGGCGAAGCGCGCCAATGAGAGTCCCGGTGCAAAAGTTCGCTGGAGAATAATGACCGCGGCGCCACGGCTGCAGCACGGAGCACGCGAAGCTCGCGGTGCAACGCCTACCTGCAGGATGTCGTAGTGCATGGAGGCGGTGATGGCCTTGCGGTGCCGCTTGTAGTCGCTGCCGTTGAGGGTGATGAGCCCCCTGCCCACGACGTGCATCAGGCACTCGTAGAACTCGTCGGGCTTGCTGGCCAGGGCGGGGCTCGTCAGCACCACCTGCAGGTCCTCCGGGTCCAGGACGGCGACGCCCAGGCAAGGGCCGATCCAGAACTTGAAGAGGTAGCCGAAGTCCGCGCACAGCGAGTCCATGAGTTGGTACATGCGGTCGAGCGGCGTCAGAAACCGATGCACGTTGCCGATGAGCGGGTAGGGCGCGGGCCCGGGGATGTCGGCCGTCAGGCGGTGCATCCTCCAGACGCGGCGGTAGAAGCGCACCACCCGCGCCGTCAGGTACAGCAGCGCCGCGGCCGCCACCCACAACAAGGCCGCCGCCATGGTCGTCGCCTCGGCGCGTCGGCTGGGACTGAATGGAGGAGGAGCACAGGAACTGCACGTCCGGGCCGCCCAAAGCCAAAGGGTAAAGCAGCGCCGCGGAGGTGGGGACGCTGCGGACGCTGGTGGGCGGCCGGGCCTCGGGTTGGGCCGTGCCCGGCCCAGCCTGTTCGGCGGGGTACGAAAGGTTACCGCACGTCGTTCCCGAGCGGAAAACGGAAAACCATGCACGACTTGCCGTTCCGTTCCGTTCCGGCGCGGCACGGCGCGGCGCTGTCCCGCGCGGAGACAGACGCCGACCCGAACACCAGAACAAGTCTCAGACCGGCGGACGGGCCTCTCGCCATCCCACGTCATGGAGCAATAGAGATGGAAAAGTTCTCTGAAACGGATACATTTTATTCTAACCAGTTGGAGTAACAAACGCTGGTGGACAGTGCGCACGACGTTCGCAATGCATCCTGATTGAATCATCTGCGCAAATTCATTTTTAAAAGAATGCTGTGCGAAATCCCTCTGTGTTTGTTCCTGAAAATAAAGCGCATAAGTTGGTTCCCACAGCCTTTCTTCGAAACGCAACGCGGCGACGCCGAGGGCCGAGGCGACGCCCCCTCCTCGAGGCTCCAGCATCGAAGGTGCCCGATGGGTTGCCCACCTCCAGGCGCTCGGCGCAGAGAGCTAGAGAGAGCCTGAACTTGGAGCGGTCGTGGGGTAATTTCATTGTTTCGGGGAGACTCAGACACCGCACCATCAGAATAAACACACCGAAGCAACGACCGGCCGCCATTAAATCTAGATTTGTCCGCGACTTTAGGATTGTTGGTGGGAAAGGACGTGCCCGATGGGTTGCCTACCTCCAGGTGCCCAGCCCTTGCCGGCAACTTGACGCTGCGCGCTTGGATTGAGAGACGCTCGCCGATCAGGAACAACGTCGTACGAAGGAAGGCGGCTGAACGGTTTCCTGGTGGCTGTGTGGAAACTCCCCGACCCGGGCTGAGCCTAAAACAAAAATCGGCGCGGCCGATCGGGCGGCAAACGAGCCGCTCTATCGGCCGGATCGGTCCATTCTTTTAATAAAAACATCTTTAAAACTGACATTTATAAGAAAATCAGGATACAGTCGTCTCGCTTAAATTAAAAAGAAAAGAACGCTCTCATCTCATTTTTGTTCTTTTTTCAAAACGCTCCTAGATGATTACAACTAATGGTTACGTCGAGCTCTAAGCCACATTCTCGAGGTTCGCATTCTTTCGTTCTCAGTTATGAGTCATTGCAGGCCTTTATCCGCGAGGTGACTCCTACTTACAAACGTTCGGATGCGTAAGCCTCATTAATTACCAATAAAACTGACCTCAAGGACGTGGTCCGACTCCAAAGCTGACGGAAGGAAACGGCGTTTGCTGGCACTTCTCACTTTGTTCGATTCCTGTGCGTCTACGTGATTCCAAAGAAAACCAGTACCCATTGTCCGCAACAAATTGAAATAAATTTTATTTAAAGGTTAGAGCAAACGTACGATAACAATCCCACATTCCGTTAGGAATTCAAAACGTTCCAACACCCAATGTCACGCTGCCTCCTCGCTACAGGCCTCACAGGCCGTAGACCGGCGGCTCTTCGGCGTGCTCGAGGCCGTGCAGCCCCCGGCGGCGCAGGCGCACCTTGACGCCGCCCTTGACGCTCAGCGAGATGCCCCCCACGAGGGGCACGTCCACGAGGCGGCGCGGGCCGTCGGGGTCGGGCAGCACGTCGTAGCGGCGCAGCACCGAGGCCGCCACCGTCTTGGCGAACATCAGGGCGTACCGCTGGCCGATGCAGTTCCTGGGCCCCGCGCTGCAGGCCAAGTCCACTGTAAGTCCCGTCCGACCAGTGTCCTCTACGAAATACCACAGGGTGTGCTTACCTGAACGGTATGAACGCGAACGGGTGCCGGTCTCTGCTGTTTTCGGGCGTGAAGCGCTCGGGGTCGAACCGCTCCGGGTCGGGGAAGTACTTGGGGTGGCGGTGCGTCCATATGGGTAGCATGGCCACCAAGGACCCCTCGGGGACGACCCTGCCCGACGGCAGCGCTACGTCCTGGGAGACTACGCGTCCGAAGACCGGCACTGGCGGGAAGAAGCGCAGTGTCTCCTTGAGGGCGCACTCCAGGTACTTCATGTGGGGCAGGTCCGTGGCCAGGATGTCGCGGTCCCTGTCCGACCCGAACACGTCGTCCAGCTCCTGGAACAGGACAAGCTGCCATTTTCAGCAGGCTTTCGCTCGCCAGAGCACAAGGAACTAATTCCAAACCGAGGGTTTACCCACTCCGGGAATCGCATGCACCACGTCCCGGAACCGTTTATCATCGTTTCAAAATTTTATCGGAAATCACACCGAAGGAACGCGTGGGTAACCCCTCGTGCAAAACTATGCTTTGTGGAATCGTTTGATTTTGCTTTTTTTTTTTTCACCTGCTGCACTTTCCGCTGCACTCCCTGGTTCAAGGACATGCACAGCATGAACAGGGTCTGAAAGTCCATGGACGTGCCGACCCCAGCAAACAGCAATGTCTTGAGCTCGTCCAGCAGTTCGCCGCGCGTAAGCACGCTCGCCTCGGACGACGACAAGAACGTGTCCAGGAACGTCTGGCGGCGGTGCAGTGAGGAGGTGGTCGTGGTGTGCTGCTGCTAAGGAATGTTTCGTCACTTCAAAAACGTGTATGCACACGTGTAGGGTCAAGAGTGCAGTGATTTAGAGCAAGAAGCTTGGAAAGTTTAAGACACTTTAAGGTTTTTACTAGCTTTAATGCGGAGTCCAGAAACCAAGCACGTTTCCCAACAATATTGTGCTTGGACAAGGTATATGCGTGCGCGAAGCAGGCCTGCTCGGCTCGCCCTACTGGGGCTTGGCCCGGCTCGGCATACTGGACTCGTACCGACTTTAGCCAGGTCGGCCAAATGGCTCAGCTCCCGCTCGCCTGGCATGGACTACGCTCTCTCCACTCGTTTCTACGGAACTAGGAATATCTGGTTTAAAAAAATTAAACTTATGTCCTAAATGCACTGAAAATATGATCCAACATGTGTCCTCATTTCCGTGCACTCAGGTGCAGCATATAAGTTTACAACTCCCTTCTTGGGAGTTTTCACTGTACCCACCTTTTGCATCTTCTGCGTGAGAACTCTGTACGCGAAGTTTGTCATACCCGCTACCACGAGGTTGAACCGGTCGTACTCCGAAGACAGCTTGAACAGGGTCCTGCAGCGGAACCAGGGCCTGAGGCACCGGTACAGCATCATCTTGCTGGCGTCGTGGACGATCTCGACGTAGGCGTCGCGCTCGGCCTCCAGGCCCGGGGCATCGGCGGCCAGCACGGTCTGGCAGACGGTGAGGCTGGCGTTGAGGCCCAGCTGGTGCGCCACGTCGAAGGGCTCCCCAGTGCTGGCCAGCGGGTCCAGGCGGGTCTCCAGCTCACGGCAGTTAACGCTGAACATGGCGACGAAGTCCTGCAAGCGAGACCATTTATTTATTCTACCACAAAACACACCCCCTCGTCTCGGAGCACCCCACCCCACCCCTGCCCGTCAATGCACAACCAGGTCCCTAACAAACAAAACTACTAGCATGCTGACATATTATCTATACTATTATTTTTGTATTGTCTTTACGTATGCATATCTTTTTAAAACAGCTACTGAACCTTGCTGAGCCACTTTTACCTGCAGGATGTCCAAGTGCATGGAGGCGGTGATGGCCTTGCGGTGGCGCTTGTAGTCGCCGCCGTTGAGCGTGATGAGCCCCTTGCCCAGGACGCGGTTCACGCCGTCGTAGAACTCGTCGGGCTTGCTGGCCAGGGCCGGGCTCGTGAGCACCACCTGCAGGTCCTCCGGGTCCATGATGGCGATGGTCAGGTAGGGGCCGAACCAGACTCTGAAGAGGTAGCCGTACTCCGCGCATAGCGACCCCACGAACTGGTACATGGCGTCCAGGGGCACCAGCAGGTACAGCCCGTTGCCGATGAACGGGAAGGTGGCGGGACCGGGGATGTCGGCGGCCAGGCGGTGCATCCTCCAGACGCGGCGGTAGAAGCGCGCCACCGCCAGCAGCACGGCCGCGGCCGCCGCCCACAACACGAGCGCTATGAGCGCCATGGACCGCCGTCGGAAACTGGTGCGACGGCAGGGCCTCCTGGCCCAGGCTTGGCTGCAAGTCCGCGGCAAGTCCGCGGTGGGGTGACAGGGCCCAGGTCCGGTCCAGACAACTAGACGACGGGCTACGCGGCTACGCAACGCCGCCTCGCCTCTCACGCGACGTTTGAAAAATGTAGCCGGCCCCTGCATGCGTTTGGTGAATGCCCAGTGACGGCATGCTAGCGCGGCGCGCGGTGGTTAGGGATGTCGGCGTTGTAGGGCCGCCTCCGTCCGTGGTTCAGAGCAGGAAGGGCTCGATGGGTTGCCTATCTTCAGGCGCCCAGCCCTTCAACTGCATGTCACCACTCTGCGCTGCGCGCACTTGAACGGATTGAGACTCATGGGTCGGTCGGGGAAAATGTTGCACGAGAAAGGCGCCAGGTTGGTTTCCTGGTGTGCTGATTCTGCAGCCACGATTGAGTCCAAGTCCCGCTGTATACGTGCCATCACGAGTGTACGAGCTGTAAAATCCGAATTTTCCATCCAATCACAGCCACGGCAAGGTCACGTTGAGGGACTCCTGTCTCTCAAGTGGATCAGTGGGACTAGTGGATGGCCTAGGTCGGTCCTGTTGAGTGACCCACAGATGTCGCAAGGCCCGCGCCGTCCCGCGCCATAGGGTGGACGCCGTGGGCTTGCAGTGGTAGGTGTTTGTTTATCGAGTTTGATAGCGGGGTATTCATGGAGCTACGCCATTTGCTCAGTACAAGTCCACGACGGGCCTGCCGGACCCCAAAGTAACACCCGGCCAGAAAGAAACAAAAATAAAAAAGAAACAAACCGTTTTATGTATAAATTAATTTTATTTTGAAACTTCGCTGTGACGTTTTTTACAACCACAAAGGATTCCGCGAAACCAAAGTACTGTACTGATGCTGAAATGCGGCAAGGAGGCCCAGCCGGGCCCACCTTACGCTAGCTTACGCTCTGGTGGGGACTGCAGGCCTCTGGCCGGCAGGGGGGCCAGGGCGACCGGGACGACCGGGACGGCCGGCGGAAGGGGGGCCAGGGGGGCCACGGCGGCCGGGAGCAGGGGGGCCAGGGCGACCGGGACGGCCGGCACGCTGCTCGTCGGAGGACGCCGACGACTCGGAGTCGGAGTCGGACTCGGACTCCGAGCTGCTGGGCTGGGGCTGCTGCTCCTCCACGGAGTACCAGACCACCTCCGGCTCGGCGACGGCGTCCTCCTCCACGCTCAGGAACAGGTCGTCGCCGTCGGTGCTGCTCTCGGCGGAGAGCCACTCGTTGTCAGCCACCTGGTTCAGCGCCTGCTCCAGCGCCTGGTCCACAGCCTGGTCCACCGTTTGGTCCTGAGCCTGGGCCAGCACAGCCTGAATCGGAGGCAACACAAGGAAGAGGAGTGTCAAGAGAGCGATAACGAGAACTCAACGAAACAAAGCGAACATGTTTCTCCCCGTCTTACAGAGAAGCTGGCTGCCGCAAGAAGGGCTGCGATCAGCATGTGTCGGAGCATTGTGACGAGTGAACTTGGGAATTCTGTCGAGGACGAAAGCGGAGCGTCTTTTATAGGCGCGACGCTCACCGCCCACCTGGGCAAACGCAGGTCTCTAGTTGTTGTGAACACGCACACCTGTCTCACACCGCTGAGTACATATTGAGCGGCGCGGGCTAGAATACACCATTCGTGTGGAATGCTCCCCGAAAAGACGCCAAAACCAGCGTATGATTCACAATCTTGTTAGTTCGGTGCACTGTTTCAAAACGGACGCACATTGAACAAAGAAATTGCACCTCGAAGAGGGACTTGAGGATGACGAGAATTGGGGCCCTCTGAGAGAGTGTTTTGTCGTGTTCATAAATCGGCGGCCAAGGACGTGAGGTATGCGAAATTGACGCTCAAAAAACCGGCATGACGGGGCCTTATCGTTGCCCAGAGAGGGCGCGCGGTGCGTGGCGCGCGGTCTGTGGGTGACAACTAAGGCATCAGCATGTTGCGCTTACATTGCTGGTTCGTCAAACAGGTCTAACCTGCGCCGCCCGGCCCAGCGAGCGCCTTCCCTCTCGGCGGGACTTGCCAGCGCCAGCCTCGCCAGCCTCGCCAGCGGGCAGTGGAGCGCCGCGGCGGTAGGCAACCCTTCGCGCGCGAGTGCCGGCGTGCTGTGCCAGCTGAGCGCGCGGGGTATCGCCGTCGTCGCCTCCAGACTAGTCCAGACGCTGCAGTAGGTCCTGAAGCGTCCGCGTGGTGGCGCTAGTTGTGTGGCGCTGGGGTTCGGCTTGGAGTGGTGGCGGTGGCTGGGCAGTCAGAGAGAGCGGAGAGTGAGGCGCCAAGCCTCCCCGAGCTTCCCCTCAGGTGCGCGCGTGCGCAGATAAAACGTTGAAATGGTCCATTCAAGTCGAATTTTGTCACCAACGTCTTCCTTCTTCAAGTAGACCGAGACCTAGATGAGCGCAGAAAAGGGTGCGAAAGCCTCACCACAATTTCCCGTTCCCGTTGGAGATCTAGAAAAAGTAACTGAAAGCAGGGAATTTTACAGCAGGGGGAAAACACTGACACCCGCGCGCGCCGCGACGCCGTGACCGGTGGTTGTTTGTAGAACGCACGGCGGTGAATGAGCCAAAGAGCCCACACCTGCCGGCTGGCCCCTCTGGCCGTGCCCTGGCCATGCGCCGGCCCACCCCGACTGGACCCGGCCAAGATGGTATCGCAGCAGCACCGCGGCCGCCAGCAAGCCGCCTGCGCTTTTTTCTCCTTTCAGTTTCGCAAAGCAGGCGGAATGGAAATGAATGACCCAGCCCGAGTTTGATGAGATTAATTAGTGGCAAAGAGAGCTCCTCCTTCTTCTTCTTCTCCTTCGCGAGCTCGGCGCCGAGGCCGCAGCCCGAGAGCGCAGAGGTGGCGCCGTCCAGGGTGTCCCCGGCGGCCGTTCAGGGCGTTCAGCGCCGTTCAGGGCGTGCGCGGTACCGACGTGACACCCTCCACGACGTTGGCGCGGAGCGAGGACCGCGCCCGCTTCTTTTTAGACCGCCCGAAATGGAGCAGCGGTGACGACGCGCTTTCCGCGGACTGGCTGGGCCGCTCCGCTCGGTGACATCCCTCCTCCTCCTTTGGTACCTTTTATCCGACGGGCTGCCGCCTTGAACGGGCGCTGCCGCCCCTCCGGCACACTATTAAACCTCGCTCCGCGCGTGCAATGTTTACCTTAAATGCAGATCATTTTCGAATCAGTGCCGCACCGCGGCCCGGCCCTCGAGGCTGGCTCGCCCACCACCGCGACCACGGCGTGCATGACTCGGCACGGCGTCGCGGCGCAGCCACAAAGGTGCGCGGGGTTGATGGACTAGAGCCCGGCCCGGCCGTCTTCATCGGGGCGGCGAGGCGGCGCGGACAACGGACTCGCGCACACCCCTTTCTACACTGCGAAAACGAAGCGAGTAAACAGAGGCGAGCGCTCGGAGCCAGGCGGACTTGCGTCTGATTTCTCCTTCATGCCGTCCCAATCCGCGCCCTGATTGGCGCCCTGCAGATGGGAATGGCGATCGCAGCAATTTTGTGGAGCGTGGCTGCGTGGTGCTGCGTGGTGCTGCGTGGGCCATCAACCTCCAGCCTGGCCGGCCAGCCTCCCCCGCGGCGGCCAGCCCAGCCAGCATGATCCAGGCCGTTCTGTTTGAAGTGCGCGATGGGAAAGGGGGCGGGAGCGGGAGAAAAAAGGAGGGGGTGTGAGTGGAGATGCGAACCGAACCAATGTTGTTTTAGAGGGGAAATGAACACGCGCCGGCCGAAGCGAAATTCCCAGGGCTGAACCGTTATTGTTTCGCACGCAACGCGCCGCAACGCGCACCCTCGGTGTCTCGGTCCGGTCGGGAGGAGGTGGAGGCGTCGCGAGTGTTGCGAGCCCCGAACACTGGGACATCATTGCACGGGGAAAACCTGACCAAGTATTTTGAGCATGAGTTTGTTGTGAAAAACTAGTCTCTAAATTTCTTTGTCAGCTACCGCTCAAAATACTACGTAACAACTTTAAATTTTCTTTGTGAAGACTAAAACAGATTGGAAGTGTTTCTACATTTTGGTCAATATTTTTTCATTTTATGGTGCCGAGTGCTGAACAGAGTCCCCCACCCCGTTTGTTTCCCCGCCAATCAAGTTCCCTGACGATCGTAAAGAGAAGAGACGCGGCGAAACCAACGAAATAAGGAAATGGAGGATTTGTGAGGCTTTCCGGTCCGCGGTCAAACTGGGAGAGGGGAGGCGGAGGGGGAGGGGGAGGGGAGGGAGGGGGGCTTATGACGGCGGCACTGACCACTTGTATTGTCCAGGCGGAGGGAACAGAAATGGGCGCCATGCGGGACGCGAGAGGGGAGGGAAGCCCAGGAAAAATATCTCAGCTCGTATATAGGATCGAATAGTTTGCCGACGGCGAGGCGAGGGGGAGGCGCGGGGAGGCAGGGAGACTGACCACTGGCGAGTCGTGGGAGAGGCGGGGGGGGGGTGGGGTGGGTGGGGTGGGGTGGGGTGGGGTGGGGTGGACCGGGCCAGCATCGACACGCCGCCTCATTCAAGTCGCTCCAATTTTCGGGATGCCTGTTTCAGAAATGTGCCAAATAAAAATAAAAGCACGAGTCCGATACTAGTCCAAACCAGGGCGGGTCGCGCAGAGGCCCCTCCAGACCGATTCCGAGAGTTGTTTTCGTCGCCCTGTCTCTCTCGCACTCATGGGTTGTTGCCAGTGGGTGCGAGAGAGACAAGCGACGAAAGCGACTCGCGCAATGAGTCGCCGCGACGCCGAGCCTCATTACGTACCGCGTATGACGCATTTGGCATCACGGCCAGCCAGCGAGGCGGAACAATCCGACACCGGATACACCGCGGATCGCATCGCGGATCGCCGCTAACTGGACGCAATCCCGGGTCGCGGGGTCGAGTTGAGTCTGGCCGAACAGCGGCTTAGCGTGGTAATCTGCGGAGCAAACGGACGACAACGGGGCTGGTGGGGCTGGCCGCGGAGCCGCGGACTGGAGACGGCGGTGCTGCGCGGTGCTGCGCGGTGCTGCGCGCTGCGTGCTGCCCGACCCGCATTGACCCCACGGCACACCCAACCCATTGCCGGTCATTATTTGGGTGACAAAAGCCGGACAAAGCGCGGCCGGCAAACATTGGTGTGACCGCTGACCCGGACGCCGAGGACCTCGCCGAGGACCTCGAAGACGGCCTCGCGGACGACCTCGCCGACGCCAGAAGGACGGACCTCCTTCAGCGGAGTTACGCCCCGGCCGAGAAGGGCACGCCCAGCACGCCTTTGAAGGAGCGACGTCGAAGGGCAGGCGGGTCCGAGCGCGCGGGTCCGAGGCCGGCCCGCCACCGCCACCCCTGCGCGGCGCGGCCGCGGACTCGGCGACGACGGCGCGATGACGCCATTAGTGCTGCCAGGGCTGCCAGGCCTCGGACGCCGCACATTTATATTTTACAGACAGCCACGCCAGCCGGACACCCTCCGGTCTGGGCCAGGGCAGGCCGGGGCCAGGCAGGGCTCCCCCTTCGATTCGCGTTTTGCGGATCGGCCTGTCAATGGAGTAACTTATGGGGCCGCCGAGGACCGGGCCGCGCCGGCCTCGAGGACTCACGTAGAGCTGCAGCTCCAGGGCCTAGCGGCGCTAGCGGCAGCGCACGGGGAGGGAGGGGAAGGGGTGCGGAAGGGAGCATCCGAGACCAGCTTCGTGGACGGGCTGCGAGTTGGAGGTCCTGCTGGCCGGGTCGAAAGCGAAAGCTCGTCTCGTTTTGTGTCGATACTTGGGAATGGCGCGACGAGGCGTCAAAGGCAAACGGAAAAGAGACCAAAGGAAAAGGTCAAAATGTGGATTGCGGAAACAATGGGCGAGGCCGAGGGGTCGCGGCACTGTCGCGGCCCGCGGACAATGTCCAGCGACGGCTCTGATTAATGGTGGCGATTCTCTCTCTCCCTCTCTCTCTCTCTCTCTCTCTGTCGTTCTCTCTCTCCCTTCCTCCCCCTGGCTCGGCACTGGCCACTGCAGGGATGCAGCAGCGAGCGCTTCCGAACAGTGCTTCGTCGCTCTGTCTCTCACGGGACGCCCCGTTGAGTTGGAGTGAGACAGAGCACCGAAAGCGCACTTTCCGAAATCCTTCTGCTGGCCACCGCGGCAGCGCAGGGCCGGCCAACTGAAGTAAATGACGCTCTGCTCGGACTTGTCGGCGGCGTGGCGCGGCGCGGAGAACGCTGCGGGGTTTTCGGAAAGAAACGTCGTCGCCGCGTTTGCTTTTTCGATAGTCTTGGCCGCTGCTGCGTTTATGGCGATGGCTGAGGGGATTTATCGGTTCACGGGGAAAAACGGTTGGCCGCGTGAATGCGCCGCAATGCGCGCCCCGACGGCGGCGAAGTCGGACGAAGCTCCCCCGGGATTTTTGATTCGGGAAACACGAAGCAATCCGCGGATCCTGCTGCCGGGTTGCCACCTCCAGGCCGGGCCGCCGCGCGCCGCCACCCACGAGGCGGGGGCGAAGGTGAAGGGCGTCCCGCCGCGTCCCGCACCCCGTCCGTCCCAGGTGTGCGGAACGCCGCGCGTGCCGCCGCCGCCGCCCGTCCCGCGAAGGTCTGCACCTCA